CTGTATCTAAAATTAACTAGAGGTCTCTGCAATGTCACACTGATTTCTACAGTGATCTTTTTTTGCCCTGCTGAGCAGGGCTGCTGGACCTCTGGAATATCCTCTTCACAGGCTGTAATGAGATTTCTGGTCCAAATGGGAAAAAAATGTGTTCTCAGAAATGTGAATTTTCAAGTTCAGAAATTCTGCTCTTGGACTTCAAAGCTGCCAAAATCTAGGCCATATTTTCCTGGTTTGGCATTCTTGCACATTACTTTATGGCACACACTAAATATTCCCTGCTACAGTAAGACATAAACTACAAGCTTAACTATTATGTTAATTTTCTTTTATTGCTCAAATCACTGCAAGGCATTTCTGTGACTGAAATCTCATACCTCTCTTACCTTCTTTTCATTTCAAAGTGTCTCTTGTTTGCTTGTGTCCAGCTGTTTCATTTCAATACAAAAGGAAACTGATACAGAAAACAATACAGTAACTTGTCTGTAGCAGATGCCTTTAAAGATTTTAGCATTATGATATCCCAGCTTAGTGCAAAACAAAACAAATATAAAGCAAATTAACTAAAGTTTTAAAAATCTGAGACAAAAATTGGTAACAACTTAGAAGTATTTTTGCAGCTCAGTTTGTAATAGAAACACATAGGGGTTTCCACAGCATTTTACTAATTATCAATTACAGCATAGATAGGCCTTCTCTCCCAGCAGTGCAATGCTCACCCAATCAAACTAATGTCATTTTTCTTACATACAACTGGTTGGTAACATAATGGCGAATGGTTTTCCACAACAGCTAGTGCTGTGTGAAGGAAACATAAGTCTCTTGGTACTTCTTTATGTCCTGAGTTCTCTAAAGTTTAGAATATCTGTTCAGACAGAAAACACCGTGTTGACTTCTATCTCCTTGTATACTTACATAGTTATGTATTTTCAATTTATATTGATTTATAAATAAATCAATAAAGTAATTAGAACAAAAAGGCTGGATAAGTTTCTGTGAAAATGTCAACAAAGTCAATCTAACACTGGGATTGTAAAATCAATCTTTGATTTTTTAAAATCAACACTTTCCAATAACTTACTATCCTTCTGGAATGCTCTGGACCAGCACTAACTTTTCATGGATGTTTTAACAAAAGAGTCGACTGTACGTTACTGACAGCGGTCCTTTCACCTCCACCCTTCGCAGTATCACCATACGCACTCCTTGGCTTTCCCTGCAAACATAGACTAAATACATACTCTAAAACAACAGGAATGTGTCAACATGGCTTTATCATTCTTATGCCCCCCCTTCAGTTGCAGATGGAAAACCCGAGCTGTGGCTTGGGTTTTGGAGTGTGGTCACGGTCACAAGAAAGCCTGTGGCATAGGGAAGGATGGTCACAGTGTTTCCTGAGGAGTGTTCAGGCTGACCAGAATGGCCTCATTCTTACATTTTTTTTACCTGGTTTCCTGGCCCTGGGTGAGGGCAGTAACCATTCAGGCTGATTTTCTTCTGCAGCTAGACTTCAGATCAGAACTGACTCTTCCAAGCAAACATCGCTTTGTTGTGCTGGAACTCTGTCCCCCATTTCAGGGCAGCTGAATGTGGTTGCAAACCCCAGCAAGAAGTAACTTTAAAAGTGTCCCAGGCTTTTAAAGGAAACACTCCCCTCTCCCCGGTACCAGACACACTGCCAGCCTCTTGCAGACGTCCCTGTCCTGAATTAGGAGTGCAGATTACCCTGGTGCCACCTTGGCCCTTCCACAGGCCGCTGCGTGCAGCATGGGGAGCCGCCTGTGCTGGCCAAATACAGCCCCAGGGACAGGGCAGCAGGTAAGTTCCCAGGGGAATTTCACAATCAAATATGGCTACTTTGTGCTGCCAGGAGGCACCTTCCCCCCGTGGGGGTTTCCAGCCAGACCCTCACAGTGATTTTGAGTCCCTACAATAACAGAAGGAAAAAGATACTTTTCTTTTCCAAACCAAAAAGGAAATCTTAAACAGGCTAGAAATAAGAGCAAACACTGAAGACCTAGAGGTCCTCAGTTCATTTCCTACCTCCTGGAGGGTGAGTGTTACAGGTCTCCTGTTTGCAAAGAACCAGCCTCTCCTTGCCAAGCAGCAGGGGTAGGTCCATCACCAGCTCTCCAATCGGTTAGTCCCGGCAGGATTTCTGCTTATGCAGCACCCATGCCTGATTCTACACAGTGCAGACCTGATGTGATGAAAGGGCACAAAATCTTGCTTTAGTTCTCTTTCTGTGAATTAGAAATAATTAATTTACCCTAGATTCTGTTCTTCAAAGTGCAATTTTCCTACTCTTATATCTATTTTTAGACATATTTTTAATGACCATTTTTATTAAAAAAGTATCACATGGACATGGGTTTTTTTTTTAGTTAGTCCTCAAAGCCAGCTGTTGAAGATGTTTATGTAAGACAGTGGCTAAATTATCAGTATGTGACAGCTGGCATCTGCCCCTTGGATAACCCAACGCCATCCACGTGGGAATCTGCCGGCCCCGGCCGCGCACCGGGAGGGATCTCGGTCCCACCGAGCGCTCCCCACTCCACGAGAGCCCAGCAGGCAGCACACGCCACTGCACGCACGGCCTCCTCGCTGCCCGCCCAGACCCTGCCTTCTCAAATCCAGACATCCATTTATTTGCTGCTTAAACACAAGTTATGTAAGCAGGAGCTGTAATTTATGACAAGGATAATGAATTGCTGCAGAAACAAACCTATTCTCCTAGCTGAAACACGGTGCATGGGAGAAGTGCTACTTGCAGGGCACCTAACGTTAAATCTGAGAAGAGCAAGAATCATTACTGGGACAAGTCCTATTAGCTAACTTGACACCAGGGTCTGTGCTATGATGAAACACAAGCAGTATTAAAAATTATCATGGTAATATTAAAAAAAAAGAAAAAAAAAGGAAAGGGCAGCATAATTTAGAGCAAGCAACGGGCTGCTCAGTCCCATTTATTTATTATTCTTTTTTTCCAATCTAAAATTAGAGTAAGCATGCATAGATACAGATATGATACACTTGGGTTTGTTAAAGATGAATGCAGGTAAAGGATCTAGACCTCTTATGTACATGTATATTTATCCTAACCTCCCTTTTTGCTTTTTTAAAATATTTGAGAGCTATCCCACAGCTGGATTATTTCAGGGGCTGAAAACGTGGCTGACTTCTTAAGAGAGTAATTGATATATCTGACCAGGAGAGGCCCGTGGGGAGGTGACAGTGCCTGACCCCTCCATCAGAATCACCCCACCCCCAGCTCCTGACTTGCACACTTTTGGGACAGAATTCAGAATTCAGAAACTGCCACTGGGAAGCTGTATGTGTTTACCTGTGCTGCGCAGACTGGGGTGACTGTCACCTGGACACGTAAGGATGTGTCAGCTCAGCTGGCCTCAGCGCTGTCAGCTGGAGACCAGCAAACATCAGGCTTCAGCTGCCACCCGATACCTCTGTGCTTCCTGCGGGGGTAGTTTATAAAGAGATGTCTATCCTTGACTGGCCTGTTGTGGTCGATAACCTCCCATGTTAACTGGATGATTTAAATACACTGAAGACTTAATATCATTATTACCAACACCTTGCCAATTTCCTCTTACTTTAACTCCATTTTTATTATTCTTTAACCTTTAATTAGTGTCACACAGACAACTAGTAGCTGTGTCTTTAAATTTTTCTAGTAATTTCTGTTTATTTTTAATAACATTTATTTATAAAGACTTCCTTATGCATTCCTTTCATTTGGCCTACCTGACTATCATGTTAGATACGAGTCACCTCATCCCACGGCCTCTTTCATGTCCTCTGTACTTGTCTGCTGTCATTCTATTGCCTGTCACCAGTTTGAATTTACTTCACAAACACAAAGGAGTTTCAGTAACGCTGAGCACTAAGTTGAGGGCACATGCTGTGGTGTCAGACAGACTGCAGCCAAGGAATGATTCAGAATGGAAGACAGGACGTTAACAAGCTGCCCTCTTTCCGGCAGGAGTGCTCAGCTCCATTTAGGCCTGGACCTCTCAGAATTGATCCCAGATATTTGGCTTTAGAGAAGACGATAATCAGGGATTTCTTCCCTTAAAGCTATTTGTTAAATTAAATCTAGGTTGCAGACCAACAGACACTTGTTATCCCACAGTGCTCCTAGTTCCATCCCACGCTAGCAGGACACAAGCCTTACTTTCCCGAGCACGCTGCGTGGTTTCTCCATCTCAGATGCATCCTCTGGCCCCAAATGCAAGAGAACCAGGTAGCTGATAACTTCTGCTTGTGCAGAGAAGTAGAGATCTTCATGTGCCAACACGTCCAAGCTTCTTCCCTTTCCAGCTCTGCTGGACCTGCGTGAATAAGCAAAGATTACCAAATTAATCTCACAGTAAGAAAAAGCTATTATTGCATTCCAGAGTAGCCTCTTTCACATGCTGAGTTGTGATACAGGCCTGGAGGATGTTCCCAGAGACGCTGTGGGGACGCTCGCTGCCAGTGCATACCTGCCCTCTCCACCACCGGCCCTTCAAACCATCAGATGAAACGCCCCAGACCACGGAGGCAGCAGGATGAGATGCTCAGCCTGCAATGGTGATGGGCTGAGAGTCAAAACAGAGCTGTCTAATATCTCACAGCAGTAACTAGGATTTCAGACACCCAATTCAAGCAAACCTGATGCTGAAAAATTAATAAAAAGCATACGCACGTTCCGGTGAGCCAGAGTATCTGCTGCCTATCAGCACGCTGGGTGCACTTCCAAGCTAGTGAGAGGTGCTGAACAGGCAGCTTCAACCCCTTTTCCTCGCAGGGACAGCAGGAAGTCAGGTTTGGCATTTTCCACAGGGACCTGCTGCTTCTCCCAAGCAGGCTGGTGCCTTGGTGGCAGAGGTGGCTGTCCCCAGGCTGCTCGCTCCCTCTCTGCGCAGCCAAGAGCCGGCGGGGGGGAGCGCTCGGCTGGGCAACGCGACCTGCCTAGGCACTGGAGTGAGACCAATACCACATTTCACACAGACATCTTTATTTTCACATTTCTGCATGTATGCAGGAGAATGTTCTTTTTCCTGGGATGTGCTGGTAGACATATTATACCCTACAAAATGGAGTTTAGCATTTTATATATATATATATATATATATATATATATATATATATATATATATATATATGTACACACATATATATAGTCTCGTAAAATTTCTTCTGCATTTCTCGATGTGTCAGAATGGATGTTTACAACAAACCAGAGCTAAAGGGACACTGCGAGGTTTTGTTTTATTTTTCTTATCTCTGAAATAAAATAGTGTTCACATTTTTCTTCACCTTGATTGCCTGTTCTCCTGGTTTTACTTAAGCGAAAATGCTGAAAAGACATGCCTATAAGCTTTCGATTTTTACTATTCTGAGATACTATCAGTGATGCCGGTAGAACATTTTTGAACTCTTATTTACACAGGGGCCAGGCTATCAGTTAGGTGCATATCTGCACCAAACATAAGAGCACCCCTGAGTCAGTGATGCAAATAAATCATTAGTATGTAAATGTTATGCTCCCAGCACGGCTCAGCAGTTTAACAGCCCCTATGCAGATAGTTATGTGTTTATAAGAATCCTGCTTTTAAAAGTTTCACTGTAAATTTTTAACCTGACAGTGTCCCTTAAGAAAAATGTACATACCGGGCTTAAGAAAGGACACCCTCCTACAGATATTTTCTTTTTATTATTAAACCAAACATTTTTAAAACCATTCAACAAAATTTAATACAAATTGCTGTTGGAGAATAGCATTTGTAAGAGTGAAGCTATGTATTACTGCTCCATCAACATGGCTTTAGTTATCACAATTTATATTATTTGCACATTTCCTTAGGTCTTTCATGGCAGTACCTTGAAGAAGAAAAAAAGGTTGTTACGCTTGCTACCATTTTATCAGAGGTCACACATGGACACAAAGATGTTTGTTCTCAATGTGTGTTGCAGTCAGGCAATGCCAAAGTTCTGCCCACAATGCTTGAACCTTAGGATATCCGTACCTCAAGTTTATAGCTTGACTCGTGATTACTCACAATATTGCAATCCATTCAAAGTAACAGGAAAACAAACATTGACAGTAACAGGCACGTTACATTTTTGTTGTTTTTTTTTTTTTTTTTTGCATTATCATTAATCACATTCCTATTCTTCAACAGATTGTTGCCTAAAATGCATGTTAGAAAGGCTTTTTTTTAGAAAATGCTGGCACGAAGATGCAGACTAACGTTTGTAACTAATGAAACAGCCAGACTAATGATTCAGACATTATTTAACATTCACAACTTTGAGAAAATTTGCACAGCTGATAGCACTGACAGATAGTCTAACTGTAACTTAGAAGCCAGCATAGTAACTACCTTCCACATACTGGCAGTAGGATTTATGTTGGTATGAGATTAGAATAGCATACTATGTTTTATTTAGAAAGCTGTAGTAATAAGTATTTGCTATAAATATTGCAAGCCCCACTTATGAGTGATGGGAGGCTTTACAAGATTACAAAGTAACATTCACTGAAAACATAAAAAAAACAAACCCAAAGACATTTTCATGCAGAGTAGGATTCTCTCACAGTCACTGGATCTCCGTCTTCTGTCGGCTGGAGCACACATGCCGCGTACACATATGCTGCTCATGGAAAACCCAGAGGCCTGCTGTGCACTGCTGCATACTGGCCTCTGCTGGTATCAGTGGGATCAGAGACAAACACAGGGTCAGCAATGGTTTAGCGAAGGGGACAACTGCCACAGACAGAACTTACAGTTAGAGCTGTGTGAAAATACAACTGTTGTGTGTCACTTTGCAAATCCTCCTCTCTCAGCTACTACGGACTTCAAGTGGAGCAGAGAGGTAGCAACCCAAGGCTGGACATCAGGAATGTGCAGGTGGGGTTGGGGCTCCTGTGCGACCGAAATCAAAGCCAGTTATGCCTCAAGGGCAGAATCAGGACCAGTGCAGCTTCCAGCATCCCCCTCTCTTTCTAACGCACCCCCATTGTTCCTGGAAGCTGAAAAAGGAGATGCTGAAACTGCAGGGTCACTAACGGTAGCCTGAATTCAGGAATGCACTTAGGCATGTACTGAGAGTAACATCCAAATGTTTGAAGTATGTTGCCAAACTGGGGCCACTCTCAAGAAGCAGCAGTTACAGCCCCTATGATGCAGGCACCCATATAGCACTTCTGCTAGTGGAGACACAAAACCATAGCTGAGCCTAAATTCATCATAGTAACTCCAGAAATTAATTTAGCTTCAGGCACCACTGGATCATGCAGCTAATAACGTTTTCTTTTGAAAAGGGCACACTCAAAACTTTTCAGGCTGTATTGTGCCATCTCATGAGCACATCTGGAGCAATTCAGTTAGAGGAGAAAGGCACTGTCCTAGCACAATGCAAATGATTGTTTTCCATTATCCTGACCACTTTTTCCTCAGCTGAAGTTAACTGCTTAGACTGATAACAGAGAGATGCTCTTTCAGTGTGGGCAAAAAAGCAGGTTATTCATTGCATTAAATCCTGGCCTTTACTGAAGTGGTTGTAAGAAGGATTGAGAAGGAACAGTGTAAACACTGCATTATTTCAGCTACAACTGAGGTCTTTATCAGGTTCTCATTAAATAAAAACTAAATAGACAATACCAGACAACTGGAGGACAAGGCTACTCTCACAGCATTGCATCACTTCTGTGAATCACAGCACATTATTGGCATTGCTATGCTCTGTATCACTGCTAGGAAGGAATTAATCAAGGGTATTTATACAAAAAACAATAAATAGGATGGACTAGGGTGTCATTCCCGTATACATGTAACTTCACTCACTTCAATAGTACTGTTGATGACAAGTGGGCAACTTAAAGAAATAAAGTTAAGATTACACAGAAGTGTGTGGTGGAGCACAGTTAAAGGGGAAAATGTCCCACCTAGGGGAATTAGCACAGCATTACACTAGTACTGATCAGACTTCTATAATCAGGAATACTTTAATAGATTAAATTTTTATAAAATATAGGGCTACAGAAACGAGGCATTCTATATACTTTGCATTATAAAAAGCTTCCACTTAGATAATTTTTAAAATATATCTTCACTGCTAACCATGTATTTGTAATATAGTATCTGATATAATAAAAATATATGCTTACTGGACAGGAGTGATGTAGCACTATGGCAGGGACTCTCCCTTTCTGTCTGGTTTGAGCAGCTGGAAGAGCTGGCTGTTCCCTCCTTCCCTTTGTTTCTCAGCTATCAGCTGCCTGGAGACTGCATCGTTACTCGCTGCATTAACTTTCTTAAGATTCTTCTGCAAAGCAGACTCTGACATGTTCCTCAGCTGACAATCTACTGGGCAAAATCCAACCTTGGTGTAAATTCACTACATAATTCTTTCCGGTTTACTAAATAAAAAAACAAAATCCCCAAACCAGTGCTCTATTTGACATTAGTAAGGAAGTGGGACTTGTACAAGTCATGCAACTGCCTTGTAGGAAAAAAGATTTTGCTATAGAAAATGTTAAACTACCCAAAGGGACATGTGGGCCTGGCAGATGATTCTGAGACTAATAATACCTAAGTAGCTCCCAATTAAACTTACAGGGCACTTTGTGGGTGCCAGGGTCCGTGTGTGGAAACACAGCTGCATCATCTGGGCCCTCTTCTGCACTAAGTAAAACTGGAAAGCTAAAATAAATCCATAAAGCGGGAAACACCTTACTGTAATGTCCAATGAAAAAATGCAAACATTCAAATGCTGAACCTAGGAAGCGTGTGTCAAACTACAGCAAAAGGACCACAGCACATGACCGTGGTGCTGCTGAGATGCACACTGGAGAATCACTTGGTGTCCCACCACGTGCTGGGTCTGGAGCAGGTATTCATCTTCCTGCACCAGCCCTTAGAAACCTGCCCGGTCCTGCATGTAGTTACCATCATCAAACAGCATTTGTTCTGCAGTTTGGTATTTACATGTGCAATACATGTTTTGCTCCTTTCTGGCTCACCCTGGCATGAAGATCCTCTGGTTAATGTGTTCAGGAAAAACACCACCAAAATCAGTGTGGTGGCACCAGCACATGTGAGAGGAGAAGCGGGATCTCTGCAGAAATGGGGATACTGGCTACACGGGCTGTCTGCTTCATGTCCTAGGTACATTTACTGTTTGTTTTTTACAAGCTGCTCTGGTAGATTTGACTTTTGTCAAAGCAGATTAACGGCAAGGCATTCATAAAACATTTGCCGTATGGTAGTATAGACTGAATTTTTCACTTACAATAGGTGGCTGAGTAAGCTATCAACATGTGCTATCATATGTAATCAAGCTTGCGAGATTAAAAGCAGGACTTGTGCCTAGCAAACAATGCTGTATATTACTCATTGAACTTTGAGCAGCAGTTCTCTCTTGTCAGGATTTATTAAAATATTCACATGCTTCCAAAACGAAACAAAGGTCCACCGGTGTTTTTTGGGGAGAAGAGGTGGGATCGGTTGCATTCGGTTGCCATTTGGTTGGAGACATCGTACAAAATCCTCACACACTGAACATGGCTGAATTGTAAAAAGCTTTCACCCAGAAAGGAGATCTTTGTAACACAGAAAGTCTCTGACTCCTCCAGTGCTCGTCAGACACGGTTACATCACATTCTCAAAGAGCTGTAAGGATCTCATGATATTGTCGTCCTGAAAGCAATGAGAAGACATTTTCGTAAAACCAGCACTGACAAGCACAACTCAGAGCTTTGCATGGCACAGGAGGGGCTCTGCAGCTGGTACTGCAGCCAACAGCCTTGCTTTCATAATCGATGAGCTGGAATCAATTCAGTGATCAGGTCCTGATTCTGCAAAGCAGCTGTGTCTCTTTGGCACCATAGTTGGTTTGAGGCATGCAAGGGCAGGATCTTCTCATAAGCTTGACATTCGGCAAGGGCTGTGCTTTACTGAAGAAAACCAGACACCAGCATTGGGCTGGTGATTGTACTGAACCCTCAGACTTCAGAGCCCACCTGCATTTCATTGATCCTAAACATGCCAATATGCACTTGGCTAAAACGTTTCAAAATTCCAAATGAAATTGCAGGCTTTCAACTGGTAAGCAAGCTGCCTTGAAGGACCACTTCTCATCTCAGAAATACAACCAGCTCAATCCCAAAATACATGCAATCTCAGCCTCTCTGAGGTTCCTAGATCCAAATCAGAAAGTTGGAGACACACAAAGGAATTCCCATATTGTTTCTCATGAAGTCTCAAAATTGTACTTCGAGGTAATAAACAGAGTAATATTCAAAAACATAATGGTGATTTCCCCCCACCCCAGGAATTCAGTTATTCCAAAAGTTAGAATAACTGTTTGCCTGTAACATGAAAATAATTTTCCACATTGGTCACCTTTAGAGATCTATTGCATCTCATTCCTCTATCTTATTTTGAGGCTGCATCCATCCATCCATACACATCCATCCATCCATCCACACCCATCCATCCATCCATCCATCCATCCATCCATCCATCCATCCATCCATCCATCCATCCATCCATCCATCCCACTTCTAACACAGTTTGGTGAGCACTAGTACAAACTATCACCTTGGGTGGGAAACCAATCACCCTCTCCAAAGCAATGCTAGGAGTTCTCTGCCCATGAACCATATCCTCAAGAAATGGCTGAGGTAAGCACTACAGTCCATTTTGGTTTATTTTTCATACAGAAAAAAAAAAAAAAATCTTAGTGTTGCAGGGCTTGCTTTTATCTGCCAGGTAACCACACATGACAGTGCATCAGTCTGCACAGCTCCTACTGCATGTATGCCAACAGAAGGAACCAAACCCAAACTAGGCCAGAGCACTAAAGAGACGCCAAGTTAGAAGCAAAGCTGCTTGTGTGCTGAGACCAAAACTCATACACACACATCCAGCCTGAAGGAAAATTATAAATGTGAAGAATAATACACAACACAAATGATCAAATTAAAGATGAGGCCAAAAATAAGCTAAACAATCAGGAGGGACCAAGAATGAAGTAACTGAAAAAAAAATTAGCCTTTTATTATGCATCTGCTAACAAGAACTTTGCTGCCTCAAGTCTCTGACTGAGAAGTAATCTGGATATTTGCAGATCCAGATTTAACAGAGAAATGGCGGGAAGCCAGCCTAGCCCTCCACAGTGAGCATCTTCCACTGCTCAGGTACAGAAGAGCTGTCTGACTGCAGAACAGGAAAGATTTGTCCAGAGAAAGTATAATACACAGGTGGGCTGCTTTGCAATTACTTGCACCAATGTAAACTTTCTAAAATGCAGAGGCCATATTAGAGATATATCTGAGCAAACATTCGTGCAGTTAATTACAATTTAGGACAACTTGGCCAACTGCATGTTAATGCAGATGCTCATCTTTGTGCCAGTGCTAAAAATACAAGTAATTATTTATTACAGCCCATCTGATGTACAGAATTTACAAGAGGGAGCTTATTTCCAAAGCAGAAAGAGAAAAAATAAATCATTTCTGTGATGACAGCCTTTGTTTTTAATGTCTGACCATGTCAAAAGTCAGTGCTGTAATTACAAGCCTGAGAGACCTTTGGCTCTGGGCAGTTCCACAACTTGGTACCTGCTAATGACATCCAGGCGCAGCACACAGAGAAAATATCAACCTCTGAAAAAAAAAAAATTAAAGGGGAAAAAAAGTACTAAGGAAGTTTAAGGGCATTATGAGCTTTCTCTAGTGTTATCTGCTTGCCTGCAGAATCAGGTACTGCAGTCCACTCAGGAAAGTAGAAGCACTGGTCACCAGTACTGGAAACAAAGAGGCCCTCTCCCACAATAGGCCTGACTCTACTTTGCTATTCAGTCACAGGCTTCACAGAGCAGCACCAGAAACTCAGTCTTGAACCTGTTTTTTTTTTTACAGAGCAAAGGAAACCTGGGATCCTGAGCAACATCTTGTTTCAAATGGAGTTTGTCCAAAGGGAAAGCAAACACTGTGGCATGAGCTAGATTTTTCATTGCAGTTATAATTTTGTCCTTACCTCCTGACACGATTCAATAAACTCATCTAAAGTTACAACACCATCTTTGTTTTTATCCATTTTCTGCAAAATAAAAGAAAAATTTGTTTCCATAGATAACACTGCAGTTATAGTATATCATCTTCTTTAATGCAACCTGAATAAACCTAGGGCACTTTACAATCTTAGATTACAGACTCAGTGTCATTGGTTACATTTGCCAACTGCTACTGACTTGTTTACTCTGGTATTTGGAGAACTTTTGAGGTCATCTCCAACTATTCCTGCCTTGACACACATAGCAACCCCACCAACCAGCACCCGTATTCCTGTCTCTCTTTACAGGCAGCTGAGAGAAGCAGCAAGGAAGGGCTGCAACACAGGCAGAGGCTTCAGACTTGCTGGATGTGGCACATCAATGCAAAGGGTTGGGCTAAGAGACAAATGAGATATCCCTGGAGCCAGGAAATCAGCAGACACTGTAGTGTTAGGTGGACTGGCTGCTAGGGTTTATTTTGCAATATATAGAGGGGCACAGGACTGAAGTTTGGACTAACTTTACAGTAAAGTATATCAGTGCATAGCTGAAGTGCTACGAAAAATACATCAAAAATCAAGTACCTGGAAGAATACTTCTACATGCTGCCTTGGTGCATCTTCCTTGAGCACTGGATACGTGTACTTCCCCATCATATCATAAATAGCCTTTACGATATCCATCATTTCCTGCAGTCATGGCACACCAGCACGAACACAAAAGGGAAATTAACAGAAATGATAGCACATTTCTTTCTTTTGCTCTCCTTTTCTTCACCCTCCTCTTCTTACAAAACAGCACAAAGAATGCCTATACATGAGCATGAAGGCTTGTATCGTCATATACAAGTTCCTTTATAAAAACCAGGTGCTTCTTTCTGGCTGTGCCGTGACTTTGCCACAGCGGTGCTGGCGGCTCCTGCGGTGCTCACCCCCCTCCTCGGGCCAGGCAGCACCGCAGGACGCGTGCTCTGACGTGGCAGCTGCTGGGCTGCGAGCAGCATGCTCGGTCCTGAGCACTGCGGCACCGACCTTGCCCCAGAGCTCCTCCGGGGCCAGGGACCTTTGCGGCAGCCTCTGGGAACCCGGCCCTTCCCCACACCCGACACAAACTGCCACGCAGCTCCATCACCAGGAGCAGTAACCACAAACCCTCCAGCTACGCGCAGTGGTTTTGAGCAGACAGACCAAGATGTATCTGCAAAATATTCAAGGTTGCCATGCTCAAAACCAGGGCTTCCCACAAGGGGAATGGGCAATACCAGATAAGAAGATAAAACCAGACGATAATGCAGGATTTGGGAGTGGTGCTGGGGGCTTGTAGTACTTGGAGTGAGCCCACACCATACCTCCCAGTACAGCCAGAAACCCCCTGCGCCTCAGTCACCGAGTAGCTACTGCCACCATCACCCTCCCCTTTGCAAAGACTGTGTTGTCATAGCTGGGACTAGGATTTTGCTCCTGGCTAAACCAATCCATTAAAGGTGTGGTAACAGAGGAATATATGCCTACAAAATCATGCAATATATGACACTGTGCACTTTACTTAGACATAGATAAATGCTCAAGTCCAGTCTGATTTGCATTTAATTAGCTGCATGTAAAATTAATTGTGCTCTGCAACAGAAACCAGTTGGCTCTCTTCAGAAATCAGCTACATTTGTCAGAAACAGCCTTACCTCCTTGTTTATATAGCCATCCTTATTTATGTCGTACAGATTAAACGTCCATCTTAGCTTTTCATGAACAGTTCCCCGCAACAGTATGGACAATGCCATCACAAAATCCTGGTTCAAAACAGAGAGAGAAGTGTGATTTTTTATAACATCCTTTCCTATGTCGCGTTTTTTTATATAAAGCCAGTCAAAAGACTCATCTTTTTAGGATAGAGCATATGGTATCAATCTCTTCTGTCTCCCTTTTCTGAAAACATGTCCTCTCTGACTGAACTCAATGGATGTAGCATCCGCTAGGATGATCTCAGTACTGCCACACTAATAAAGGTGTATGAGGTAACCAGGAAAATCAGAAAAGTCCTCCAGTACTCAACTGCGGCCAATGCCAAAGCCAAGCTTATGATATGGGTTAGGCAGCTTAGCAAGGCTGGAAGGGCAGGAAGACCTAATGGGTGCTGCAGCCTTAAAACTCTCGTAGTCCTGAGGTGAGGGTTGTGAAAACAGCACAGGATTAAGAGCAGATCCAGTCCAAGGTAGGCAGACTTAGATCCTGAAGTCAGTAGGACAGTGGCTGCTCTGGCTCCTTGGACTTGCCAGGAACAGCACAGCCTGCTCAAGGCCAGAAGCTGGGCCAAGTTCCTTGATACCTATCCAAATTTAACATGCTTTAAACTCTAAATACTGCACAAATGTAAGCATGGCAAAATATACGTCTGGTTTTTAAGAGGACTGTCAGATGCTCCAGTGGCCATTCCCCTCCTAGAAACGGTCTGCTGCAGGGAGCCACGCCGGCTGACACTGCCTGGTTAAAGACAGCTGGACTCTAACTGTGGAAGTAGGAGCCGATGCTTTCTTACCTCCAGATCTAGCGTGCTGGTGAAGAAGGAAGAAGACCTACCATTTTTTCTGTGTCCACTTTGAGAGAGATGGAGAGGTCCAAAACTCCTCTTAAAACAGAGAGCCTCAGGTTTTGCTCTCTGCCAAAATATGTCATATTTGACTAGATGCAATTCCCACCACTAATTACTCAGTCACAGCATTTTAATTGGATTTTTTTGTTTACAGTAAAGTTATTGCTTCCAATAACTTCATTGTTTATACTGTGCAGTGGCTCAGACACTGTAAGTAGCATTGCTACAGGGATTTATTACTACAGGCAGAGCTTCAAGCTAACAGAGCTATACAGTTCCTGATACCTCATTTAAGGTACTCAGTCCATCCTATGTTATCTCCATTCGCTCTGCATGGGGCACTTCTTAGAATACTTTGCTCCTTTTTCCCAAGACTCAGAGGAATTTGAATTTGCTGAACAATACAAAAAAGGGGATGAAATGCTTATGTTTGACAACCACTAAAGAGACACATTTGCCAGGAAGGAAAGCTCAGCACTTTTTTTTTTTTTTAAATACTTATTTAAAGGTTTTTTTTTAAAGCATTTTTCTGTGTCTCAGCCTGTTTAGGCCTCTGGAAGCCTCTGGGTAGCTCCCATATGCAAAACTCCCACTGCAGCTGCTGCTGCAGAGACATATACATACATATTGTAACATTTCCATTCTACATTTGATAAATGAACAGTAAATTTCTCAGTCTTGCCTGGAAATTACTAGAGTTCTTCGCCATTTGACAGCAAGGGCAAGACTGCCTATGATGCCTAGTTTTATGATCACAAACTGTCTTCAAAACTATGAAGTTCATCCTCCACAAGTCTATGACTTAACATATCCCTTAGCTGCACTCCCACAACTGTGTGTGAGCTTGAAGCATGGCTATTTGTAGTCACAGCAACAGGCCTTTTAGTTAAAGGGTGGATTTAGTTTCCATCGGGTACCAAGTACCCAAGATGCTTGTTCAGTATATCAAATAAGCTTAAAAAAAACCCATACTGCAGGAACATACAAATGTAACAATTCAATAATGCAATGCACGATGACTGTGACTCCCTAAGGTACACGATGTACTGGCTTTTCTTTGACATCCAAATTACCTGTGGCACTCATCTCTTCATATGGGACTGCTCTCAACCACTCCTCTCTGCTGCATAATCTCTGCACTTTCACCCAGAGATACTAACTCACATGATCCATATGTTTCTTTAGTGAAAGGAAACATGCAACTCCAGCTGCATGAACTGAAGTGAACCAGATTTTAAAGTATCAACTGGTTTTAGACTGAAACCTCTAATCTATAATCCAACAAGTCCTACTAGTTTACAATGAAGAATGGATGGAAAAGGTTAAAAACACAAAACTGAGAAAGGGGCATCAAAGGTGGATGCAAAACAATTACCTCAAACTTCACTGAGCCGTTTTGTGCAGTGTCAAATGCGTTAAAGAGATAATGTGCATACATGCTAGCATCTGAAAAACACAAAGGGCACCGATCGGTACAACAGTTCATTAGACACTAATGGCTCCAAACAACAGTCATGATCTTATTTTCCTTTTGTATAAAAACCAACCTTGTAGTGTCGCTAGATATTCTACAAACCAGTAAATGTTAACATCCACACCTTCCCTTAAAACAGTCTTGAAATATAAAAGCTTTTATTACAACACAAACAATTTGGATTATGGAGCTGTACTTGAAAGAATGAGCAAAAAAAACCAAAATATCCAAGAGTCTCTGTGGCAAATGGAGTACTAGCTCTGGTGGAAAATTCAGCAAAAGCACCAAAGAGGGATTGCAGCACGTGTGCTTCCTTCCTCTACCTTTTTGCTCTGTGTGAGTTACAGCAGAGATCCCCAGGGATTGTCCACCTTCAGAAGGGTCTAGTTCCAGTAACTTGAGTTTGGCCCATGACTGTTAAAGAGCAATCTGATCCGAGGCATATTTCTGTCATTTTGAATCCTAAACTGATAGTTTTAGAAAATCTTTTCTATTGAGAACAGTTTCTATGGTCATGTGAAGGATTGCCTTTAACTGAGAAAAAACAGCAATGGTATGCAGAAAAAAAAAAAAAAAATCATATAGGTGTATGACCTTAAGACCTTCACTGGCCTGCTCTCTTCTCTGGAGGCAATTCACACTGCTCTCCGTATTGCTAGAGCCCAGCTTTTCAAGATGAAAGCAACTGACATTAAATTCCCTTAATTATTGCACTGCTATTGTAGCAACCATGCACTTTGTCATCTCTTCTAGTCTTTGTCTCTAGCACATAGCTGTAGTCAAGCCTGAATCTCCATACTCAGCGTACGGGTATTCAGGTGAAGCCTGGTGCCTTGTGCTACGCAGGCAGACAGGCAGAATGACCCAGCATCTCTTCACTCTGATCGCTATGAAATGATTAAATATTTTCACATTATTCAAATCCAGGAAAGTGCAACAGTGTGCAGAAAAATCAAATATTTAAGTTACTGTCATCCATAAGGATAGAATACCCTGGACTGTAATAATAATAACATAAAAAAGAAAGTCATTTCTGAGAGGAATCTGAAATAAAATTGCTCCAGAAGAGAACGTAGGAGCTCTATGCAACAAAAATATCATAAGCCTGGGATGACACTGCACAAAGTTTTTATAATTCAGAGCTACTTTACTACCTCTGGGATGTACAAGTTTATCTGTGCAGATAGCCATAAAAATGAAAAAATCTCTGAGGACTCTGAAATCTCACAATTCATCATGCTAAGGTTATACAAACCGTTTGGAAACCAAATGAAAAAAAACAGTGTAAAACACGAAATCACATTTGCTGTTAAACTAATTTATTATTAAGCATGGTTGTACTACCATCATCATTGACCAAGGGAGAATCACATTTCAAGGGAATGGGACACAAAGGAAAAAAAAAAAAAAAAAGACAAGTCTTTTTCAACCTCAGTAGAGGGGAAAAAAGTTATCTATCTAAGAAAAGATGAAGTTTCTGTGCCTGTTTGTTTTTCACACGTGGGAAGGAAGGAGTCATCTTAGGTGTGTCACTTCAAGGAGTTAATGCAGTTACTTGGGATAACTGGAGTTCCATGGACTTACTGGAACTCAAGTTGAAAACACAAAACACATCCAGAAGTACATTAAGATTATAAATACTTAATTTTTTGCATATTTGTTAACAAAATTAAATTGACTAGTTGCTTCTTATAACAAAACCAAAAGCAACCACAAAAGGAAATCATCAAGTCCATACTGAAATCTAATGTAAACTTTTTATAGGTGTACATGTTTGAGGTCATGTGCATTGTAAAACATAAGCATAAGGTGTTTTATCCTGACATTTAGTTGAAAACCCACTTGTTAATGAACTTAAAGTAAATACACATGCACACATATACTCTTGCAGAAACTTCAGTCATAATTCCACAATGAGTGCATTCTGCAGCTACTACAGAGTAGAATGTCTTTGGAAAGCCTCAAATACTAAATCTTTTACTAAAAAGCCACTTAAACCCATGAATCATTTCTTTCAAGTCGAGAACAGTATACCCACAGAACATATCCACTTAGAAGAACATAGAGATTCTTGCTGTTTTTAAAAGGCAAGAAAAAATAGTATTTGAGAGGTTTAATACAATACTTTAATATTCCAATACATGAGACTGTCTTAATCACACAAACACCAAAAATGATTGTTTCAGGCAGCTATGAGTTCGCACCTCAATGAAGAACTGTTTAAAAATTTTAGGGCAGTTTTGATTAGTTTGCAGGCCAAAACGAGGCCTGAGACTCTTCTGTGCTAGATAGTACACGCACAGCAGTCCAACAGCAGGGAAGCAGAGACACGAGGGGAAGGGATTTAGCTTTCTGCCATCCAGAAAGTCAGTACAAACAAACAAACAAAAAAGCATCAATCCCCAGTTTGTATTTTGGACTTGGAGAATAAAGAACTGACAGCTAGAGGCAATCTTGAATGTGTGTTTGCCTATATTCTTGTGAAATAACTATCCAAAGGGCCCAACTTAATTTTATTATCTTGACGTTTGTGTTTCTGTTTAAGATACTACAAAGCTTAAGCTCAATTCACATTTCTTGCATAAATTATCTGAAGTAGTTTTGCAGCCAGCTGGCAGTAACAAATGTTAGGGCATGCTTCAATAAACCTGACAGACGTAAAACACTCTACTTACCTCCATGAGGAAAAAACTGTGCATAGATCTGTTTGAATGTTTCTTCATTAACAACCCCACTAGGACATTCCTGTTGGAAAACCAAAAAAAAAAAAAAAATCAAGAAAAAACCCTCCACCTCTGCAAAGGTTCATTTGCAAAACTCTACAAGCCCAAAGAGAGCAATTAAACAAATCACATTCCTGTTCTCACAGTGCTCTGGATGCGCAGGCTGTGCAGCTAAAGAAATTAAAATAATTCAGCCTGCAATTTCATCTTAAGTATCTCATAGACTTGGTTCACCATTATTATCATTTGTAACAGTGTTTTCAGCAGTGTTTAATCACTGTTTTGTAGGACAACCTAGAAATGCAGCTCATGCCTTCTGTCATCTGAAGCTTTCATCTAATAATTACAAATAATGTTAGTGCCAGCTAACACTTCCCTGTCCAATGCCTTCACATATATGAATTCATTAATCCTCAGCAGAAGAGTGTAGCCAGATGCCTGAACAGCAGCTACATGAAGGCTAACAGTACATACTATACTAGTAAATCCTTACAAACAAGCATTAGTATTAGGCTGAAAAATAATAGATCACTTTTAACCTGTTTATCTGCTCAGTCTTCTGTAAACTTCTAAGCAGCCAGACCGTGCCCATGCAAATTTTCTAACCTGGTAACCTACAGGATTATTTTATTTCTAAGCTTTGGTACTGGAATGTAAGGCATTTCATATCACTTCTGGCAGCTTTGAATAAGGGGGAACACTTTGGAAAAGGCTGGCAGATTTTCTGCCCTGAACTTCCTCACCTACTAACTAACTAGCCCCACGGGGCAGCGCTCAGGAAGGGAAAAGACAAGCCCTGCCTGGAGGGCTCACGCTTGCTCTGCTACAGCCAAGCAAAATCCAAGCCACCATGGTTAGTTTGGGTAGGAGGTGCTGCCTGGGCTCGTTTGCAGAGTCCGGACAGCACCCATGAAAAGGGAGACAGGGCAGGTATGAGGAGCTGGGTCCCCAGGTGCTTCACCCTGAAAATGATACCAGAACTGACGTTCTTAGATCTTACCCAGAAGGATGCAGGGCCACAGGCAATGGAAGAGACAGGTGAAAAATAGCAGAAGAATGGTCTCCATTTTCTGAATCCTGTTTCCTTCCTCTCAACTCTTTATTTTTTAAACTTAAATTACTTGGACAATTGAAGTGAAATTCAAGAGTAAATTTAGCTTGACTATGGTGCTTTACTACTCCTCCACAAACTCAGTGCTGTTATAATGTTTTTATGTATCACAGAGAGCCTCAGGCAGTGCTATCTGACTATGTGAAGTTTTCAGTTGTAAAAATTTCCCAGTTGATGAGATTCTTCCTCACAGATTTGCCTATCAACCAATTTTGAAAACAAAACAGAGAAAAGTAATAAAATAATCATGGCACTAATCCTTTTTCACAGAATTGTATCTTTGGAACCTAACTACTACTACCACCTTGCCTGACAGCCCTGAATTCCTGTATGGAGAAAGCACGACCAAACAGTTGATCCCAATGCTTTTTCTACCTGCCACTTGTGATTTTGTAGATCTTCTCTTTGTCATCTCTTTTCCAGGCTGAAGCATCCCACTCTGAGAAGCACAGGAGGCACTGACCATCCTTTGACCACCCTTCCTCTGCATTTTTCCATTTCCACCGTACCTTTGAAGCAGCAGCACAGGACTGCAAGCCACATTCAAGATGCAGTACACCATTAATTCGTCCTGCAGTGTAATGCCCTAATAAATCCCAATTTGAGTTATTGGAGAAATGAGATGGAAAATGTTTATCGGATCTTTTCAATAAGGGCAAGGCTAATCCAGTCTATTGGCTAACCCTGGCTAGTTTTCAGGCAGTGTATATTTTCCTCGTGGACCTTCTAAAGTAATGAAAATTCATTTAAGAGTTCATTCTTCTACACTAACAGATCTAGGAGGGCCACACCTCTGTGCAGGCTGAGATGTTGTGGTGGCACAAGCAAGCTTAGGGATAAACAGAAATGGGTTTTAAAGAGCACACAGCTGCACAGACTTTACATCCAAACAGACTACTGCCTCATTACGCTACCTGGAACATGCACGCTACATGGGCTGCTGCTGTTGGGGTGGAAACTCCCCTAATCTCCATATAATTCTGTGCTTGGCCTGGATTTCATTAAAAAGTGGGCTTGGGAGTGTGTGTCATGGTCCTAGGTAGGTTTGAAAAGCCGGACAGATGCGAGTGCTGTTGTAGTTAATACTGGCAGCTTGGAGTTGCCATAGATGCATATACTCGCTGTGTGTCACACCGCACTGTGCAGATCCAAGACAGACAAACGCTTATTCTGGTAGCATTACAGGCTGTTGAATTTGAGATGAGTAAACTCAGGAAGTCTAAGAAAATCCCTTTGAATTGGTGACACAGAAAGCTGGAAGAAGATTCAAGTCTGTGACTTATTTATTGATGAGTTCTTTAGATAGTTTTTAAGAACCAAAAGGACTTTGACAGGAAATTCTTCCATGAAAAGCCTATAAACGGAAAAAGGCTTTTTTCAAAGCCTCTGATCTGCCAGCATCACCGGCTGCTGATGTGCATTCATTAACCATGGAAAAGGACAGAACAAACACAAGAAATCACTTTATTCTGTGCAAGTCAAAAGGAGAGTAAGGAGGGGCACTTCAGGTGACATCAGAGGCAATTCTTTAATCACATACCTATTCACTATTGAAATTAGGGTGATTAGATCTGAGTTCCTTCCTCCAATGCAGAAGAAATCCTGCTGTCTTCTACCGGCTATTTGGGTAGAAAACCATCAGTGATTTGGGACAGATTTGAGCTATGTAAAGGATAATTTGTTGCTTGGAAAGCCCTGACATTGTCTTTCACTCTTTGTCTTCGTGTTCTGACAACTATCCTTCCCTTGATTAGGTTTAAGTGGCCCAACTAAAACCTAAATCTAGCACCGTGGTCTTGACCTTGCTGGGGCCACCCCTTTTCCAGCATTAGTGTTCAGGGCTTGTTCAAAGCAAGGAGGTGAAAAGACCAACGGGACTATCTAAAGCCAGTGGCTGCAGGACCAGACCTTGGCTTTCCATTTACAGACAAAACTAACAAAACTTTCTAATTCTGTATGGCAGAACTCCTGGATAGATGAGTATCTTCAAAACATTCCAAAGCTCCTAATAAAACAGCCACTGCCCAGTTGCTTTGTCATGAGAAAAGTGGTTACTTCTTCATTTGTTCGTGCCATTTCTAATATGCTAGAAATCATTAAAAATGAATAATAGAAGGTAATAACTACCATAAAAGTATTCTCCCAAAATTCATATTTCCTAAAACTTGTCATTTAATGTATATTGAATAAATAACCTGGTATTTATTCATATATATCTGAACCATAGATCAGACCAAGTACTCTATCAACAGCTCTTCTTGGGTAGAAATTTTCTCCTTGGTCACTGGAGTGCTGCTGCTCCAAGACCCACACTAGGCCTTAGCAGAACTACTCAAAACCGGAGTATTTGACCAAGTCATCATTCTTTTTAAAACCAAGCCTACTAAAGCACCTAGGCATCCTTTCCAGCATAGTGCTACTGGCCGGATACATGAAGTGAGGATGTATCACTTTCATCTTCATAAATACAACTATTATATTCACTAGGAACCATCACTTCACATGCTTAAAGGCAGTTTATAAATGTAGGGATTGATCATTTTTCCTCTGTACTTTCCCCAATTGCAGTCCCCTGGACCTCTTCCACGCTGTATTAATAGCCTGTGCTTACTAAGAGCCCCAGCCCACCACTAGCAACTCTGAGACCGAAGTTTAAGTCTGCAAAGGGCGGGCACAGAGGAGAGGCTGCTGCTGCAGGCGCTCTCCTCGCAGACGCAAGGTCTTCTGCAGCAGTTTTGGCCATTGGGCTTGATTAAATTTTCTGAATTTCCACATGATTCTTATTGCTTCTGATGCTCCATCTGGAAGCCAAATGAAAGTCTGCATCAACCTCCAGGAGCGCTGGGGAGAGGCAGCGCTGACATTGGTCAGTCTGTTTAGCCCTCTATAACTGGATTGCTTTCAGACACATATGCTAGTACCAATTAATTTGCACTTAATTGATCACAATTTTGTCTTTATAAGAGTGAAATAATGCTCAAGAGGCCTCATTAGTGCTACAGTACTACTTAATTCAGCTAACTCGAAAGAAATCTCTCTTGTGGAAAGGAGCAGATAAACTTAGTGTCAGTTTAAATTCTGCTGAAGATAACAAAGGTTTACTCATTTAAGAAAAATTTCCTGGCAGTATGAAAAAGCACTGTCCTTCTACATAGCACTTGTAAGGCCTTCCTCCGATGGCAGGGGGATAGATTTCAGGTAAACACCTCTCATTTAACTTGGGAATTCTTTTAAAATGTCTAACAAGAACAGTGAACATTTTTTTGCACTGTTACCAAGCACAGAAACAACCCCTCATTTTCAAAAAGCTATCAAGCATTTGAAATGACAGCATGAGTCATGCATTTGAATCTATCCTCTCAGACTGCTTGTAAAATTTTAAGCCACAAAGGAGCTGAATCCACACTAAAAAAGTTTCACTTGCTGTTCTTTCTTCTGCTGGAATCAGAAATTAACTTCATTGATTGCTTTCAAAGATGTGTGATGTGGATAAGCAGGGATTAGCAGCAGAACTGAAGTGGGGCTAAACATAATCTGCCCATCAGACTGTTCTCAACTAACTTGGCCAGCACATGAAAAGGAGTACTCAGGGGGTCACATTTTGCTAAACTAGAGGTATTATTTAGCTGATGAGAGAGAGACTCTAATGTAGTCTCCTGCAGGATCCACAATCCAGATTTGCATCTCTAAGCATTCACACATCACACATATTTTGTTGCTCTTAAACGCTCTCTACATTCTCTCAGTTTGAAGATTATGAAAGTATCAGAACGTTTCTATGTTGCTCCTACTGCTTGCTTTCCTCCAAAAACCTGATTTATTACAGATGATTCCATCTCATACTACATTCCATTACAGACTTGCTAAAATATTCACACTAAGGCAAGGTAATAAGGTCTCCTACAGCCTGTAAATTACTTGGGTTGTCTATTTCCTTATTTAGTATTAGAAAACTATCCCTTGCAGATAACAATCATTTCCCCTAACAGCACAAAATCCCCCAAATTGAGCAAAAAAAATCCCAATCCTTTCAAATCTATGCACTCAATACCAAAGAATGTAAGTCATTAGAAACACCATCTAAAGAGGAGGTATTGAATTGAATTACTGAGCTCAAACCTCTATCACTGTTAGTTGCTTCACTAGTCATCACTTTACCAATTTCAATCTTAAAATTAGTTTACTGTTCTTCTCCCTCCCATTCCATAACTGTTCCCCAAATTTTACTCCTCTGGGGAGTGGAAACTTTCTTCTAATTCCAGTCTATGCCTATTTGTGGCCATGTTGTTCCCATGCCAGTATTACCTTTTAGCTCCAGCAATTCTCTCTCCTGCTATATTCATAGGCAGGAGGTATTACATTTCAATTTGCTAAGCTAAACCAAGGCAAGATCCACCAAAGGCTCTGCTGTTTTTTTGCCATCTCTGTTACCTTGCTTTTACAGAACCACAGCCAAATAAATGAGCCCAAACACTTTGTGTTAATCTGGCTCCAGTCTGACAGCAGCTAACTCCACAGTGCAAAATATAGACTATTCTGCATAATGCAGAAGGCACTTTGGAGTCTGAGTTAGCTGCTAAGATGAAAGTGAACTTTTGGTCCTGGCATCAAGAGATGTTGGAGGACAGCACCCTTTAACAACTGGAAAAGAAAGCTAAAGGCAGACAGAGGAGGCACATTAGGCCAGGTAGCAAAGACACTGGCATGGTTACCATGCTCTGCTTCTCTGGAGCAGCAAAGGATCTGAATTTAGTGGAAGCTTCCATCAACCTGGTGCAGAAACACCAGACCTGACCAGTGACACACTGGGAAGAGACTGGGAAGGTTTGGAGGAAGCAGGGAAACATTTCAGAGACGAAGGAAGAACAGGACTAGAAGTACTAAGAATTAGGACCCTGGCCAGCCAGGGCACTAGCCCAGAGGCCACCTCAGGCTGAGTTGGGTCAAACACCATCCATGTTCATGAACATCAAACCCTCGGCTCCTGTGACTGCAGAGCCTCATTCATTCTGTGTCCATTACAAGTGCCTGTAAACGGCTCTGTGTTTATCCAGGTGTTGCCTCATGATTAAACGGGACCTGTGCAACCACTGAGAGTAAGCAGTAAGTACAAGCCAGAGAGAAGAAAATTACTAAATTCCCACAGGGATTTTGAATCTCCAGATGGCACTGTAACATCATCCCAAAAAGCAGACGGTTCAGTACAATAGCAAATATGGTAACAGCTGAGGCAGCTCGCCTGCTGTGCATAATTACTCATCCCATTGAAACCATGATTTACAGGCTACGAATGCTAAAGCTGCCCTTTCGTTTCAATTTAAACCTTAGATATTAAAGCTTCATGCATATTGTGTGCATAGCAGCTGGAGAGAAACAGACTGCTTTGTCCTAACAACCTGATACAAAACAAGATCTTGCCAGCACTGCCAATTAATACCAAAACCTTCAGTGAGATCTTTGGAAAGGATTTAGGTCACAAGTTAAATGTGCTTGTCTATCATTCTTGCCCTGGGAGATAATGCCTCTGTACTGCAAAGCAATAGCAAAATTCCAAAGGTTAAGGGGTAAATGTCGTACCTGCCGAGAGAGCTGCAAGGCTGCCTCTCTGTTTTGCACTGCAGCTGCTGGCACAGCCAGCTCCTCCTCTCAACGTGGACAGTGAGTGCTCTCCCACAGAGGATTCCCACCAAACACAGCAATACAGAAGGCATTTCAGAGTTCTTAGCAAAACACAGCAGTTAAGAACTCTTAGTCTTCCACTGTAGGCGGTCATGTCATATTATACTGTACATTAACCTGTCAAGCTCTGTCTCAAAAGCCATACGATTTCTTGCTGACTGCTCAAAGCATGAACAGATTTCAGAATATCAATCTTCAGCAGTTAGAAAACCTCACATATGAAATGATCTCCTATCTGCAGCAAAGGCTGTACAAATACAACACATGCAACAAACAGAAAAATATACAAAGTTGAGCTGTGTCTTGGTCTGCTTAGGGGAGTGGTGGAATAAAGGATGAAACCACTAGACTCCTTGGAGAAGTCAAGCATACACTGGAGATGTGATTCAGTCAAATTTAAAGAATCTGTCAAAAAGAAAGGCCCTTCCCACTGTCTAGCAGGTTTCCCTCAACACTACCTGTATTTAAGGTAGCCCAGCTTTATTTTAGCAATTTTTTACCTAATAGATTTGACTTTCTCTTCCCAAGAAATTTCAGCTACTGTGAAAATAGCTGAAATGCTGGAGCTGTCCCTGCAAGACAACTTAAAATCCACACTGTGATTATTGAGCTAGCTCGATACTGATCTATTAATCATCATAAAAACATCAGCTGGCATGAAACACCTGGGTGACTAAAGCTAGACCCTCAGGCGACCAAGTAATGAGAGTATTCATTCTTCAAGGTCCATAAAACATCTGCTCCATGTAGCCTCAAATTTCCCTATCTGTTTCTATTTATTATGATGAGTCCCTAAGAGGCAGCAGCAGGTGACCTCGAAGCTGAGGCTCCCGGAGCTGCAGACTCCCTGCTATCAGGTAGAACATGGCTGGAACTGCAGCTCACAGAGACCAGCACGGTGCTGCTCTGTGCACGCAGTCACGCCAGCCGGCGCCTCTCCTGCTTTCACCTGTATCTGTAGCCTCCCTCTCCTCTCTTCAGTCTTGACACCTGTTTACTTTTGATTTCTTTTTCACTCCTGCCACTTCAGCCTTAGTCCTTACTTATGCAGGACCTTATATTCCTCATGTGCTCTAATAACATCTTACTATAAGAGCAAGATTTCTCCAGCTAGAAAAAGGATTAAAAAAAACCATCCTGGGCAGCTAATCACAAACGGTACTGCTCATATTTGAACATGAGGAACTGACAGCGAGAATTACACAAGTAGCCATAAAAACATGTTCAGGTTATCCTGAAGTATTGGCACAGTTGAAGAAATTGCAATGTGCTTACAGGTATTTGGGGAACAAATTTAATGAGAATATTATGTGGTGAATATTGATCCAAACCCAGTTTTAGGCAGATTACGGTGTCATAAATATTAGATGGAGAGGCAGATTGTGCTCATTTTGCTGTGGTAGGGGAGATCTAGCACAAAACTACTAATGTTTAACAGGGGAATGATACAAAATGCAGCTGAGCAGTTGAGGATGGTGGGGACGTACATACTAGACGCGGTTCACTGCGGTATTGTTCTTACATTTTTAAATCCTCTGTAAAGCACTTGAAGTTCTCTTTTAGTGAAATTGGTTTGTGCTTCAAGTTGTTCCAGTCCTTCAGGTCTATGACACACTGTAGTCATTTCTAATTCATCTTCAATTTTATCTGAAAGAGAAGACAGGGAAATATTTATTTTGGTTGTTACTTTTGCTCTATTAACATGATGGATAGAATGGACTGGATTTCAAAAGCAACAGAGAAAAAAGAAACCATCAGCAGAACTGATCTGTATAACTGTTTTCAGCCTCTTGAAAGCTAAATAAAAACCGTATGAGTAAAGCAATAGCTCACATTTCTTACTGGGCTGCCAATTAGCTCCCCATTCACAAAGCCGAAACTGGTGGTGAGAACAGAAGGGCAGGCAGCAGATATGTTGCTCCAAAAGGCAACACCAGTTACTTCTTACCTAAATATTGAAACAGCATGGCGGGATAGGCCTTTCAAAGTACTAGCTTTAAAGAAAGCTGTGCAAATATAAGAGTGCAGACATGCTTAAGCATATTAGACAAAGACATTATACTGAGGGTAAACAGTGAGGGAAACTTTTCTGTGTGCTAACCAAAAAGCTTGTACAGAGATGCTAAAGGTCACTTTAATCCTCGGAGAAATTAAAATTTCGTCCATGGATGCTGAACCTGGAATGAATCCAGCCTGCATTTGCATGGACTTTTGGGGGAAACAGCTAAGAAGCTAAAAACACTTATGCGCATTTTATACAAGAGAATGTTCTCCCACAGGGAAAAAAATACTTGAGACATATCACATCTTGTTTTACCATAATCTCACCTCTTTTCTGATGCATGTTTTTACCTGTCAAGCCCATCTCCCCAGCAGCATAGGTAATGCCCACATATATACAGATGCTTAGTGTATGTCACAGTTTGAAATTCTCTAAACTTCAAGGACCAGATGCAAGTTTCAGGTGACATGAAAATCTCACCTACATCTGAAAGTTGCTCATCTTAAAAGCTAACATTCCTCTTATTATCAAAAGTGCACAATTTATGCCCTGTAAAAATGTTTTAGGTTATCAGGCTCAAGTATAATATAATAATTGAGGCTGAAAGACAAGAAACATACAAGGAAATGGAGTCACTGACTAGAAGACAGATAAGAATTCAGAGCAGACTGGCTCAGTGAAAGAACAGACTAGACTAAAGCTGTATTTTCATAAATTAATTAATTTTGTATGTATGTATGACTGTTATTAAGGAAGGACACACATCAGTAAGTGACAGTGAATAATTAACATAGGTTTATTGTTTCAGTATTAAGAAATCAGCTTGAAATACTGGTGAATTTAGCCATCTTCCAATCCACTGTGTCTGAAGCTTCACAGCCAGCATTTGTGGGGCTTGAACAGTGAAAATACATATCTAAATACTGTGCTCAATGTCCATTGCACAGCAAGGGAATAAAGGTGAGAGACTGTAATAGCATGGGACAGGAAGACAGTATCACAACCATTTATGATGAAAAAAAAAAAAAAAAAAAATTACTGCACACTGGCAAGTGGCCAGAAGCAGCCTGAAGGACACACCTTTTCCACACAAAGGAAAAACAAAGAGTCTAGAAATTATAGCTCCTGTTAGAAAAAGGATGGAAAAGGGTGTCTGCTACAAGAAAAAGAACATACAATGTGAAGTAAGGGGGAAAAGCCATTTTCTTTGAAAGAGAACACGTGCCACAAAATGAAGAAATGCAGAAAAACCTGTTGAGAGAGAAAAAAGAGGGGAAGAAATTCCTTAAAAGGAGGGAAGGAGAATGAGTAGTTGAAAAAAGGAGAGGGAATCCATTTAGAAGGGAGCCACAGTAGGGAGATCCATCGCTAATCCATACATTGTACAGGAGATATCGTTTTGTTTACCTTTGATTAAGTTACCTAAAACACTACAAAATGCACATAACCCCAGACTCCCCTCCTGCATTTCCGTGCTGTCCCCCAATGCAATAAGCAATTTACACATGACCTTGACAGTCATTTCATAGTTCCACAGGAAGCCATACACTTGTGCTGTGCAGTATGTAAGCAAATTAGGCTCTGAGCCATTCTCTGCTCTGTGACCAGTTAAACGTGCCCAGCTTTTCACTGACATTTCCTATTGACTGAGTCACTCTACAGTTCTTTACAACTTCAGTCAATGTAAAATGAAAGTGTAGAATACTGGCCATCTAATCTTTACATCCTATAATATAATTCAGAGAGGGAAAAATAAATAAATCTATGCAACCTCAGGTAAGTGGTGAGGCTGATGAGGGAAGCCAGCCTATTGGATTGCTCTCATACTTAGTTTAATTTACACTCCTGCAATGTGGAGGTTCACATGGTTTCTACAGAGGCAGGAAAGATTCAAATGACAAAAGTTACACTCTTTGTAAAAGCATTTTGATCTGACTAATTTTTTGGTAGGTATTCTATTTGCTATATACTTTCCGCACTTCCTTCTTAAGCAACCAGTTTTCTAAAACACTTATTGGAATTTGTGTGAGTATTCTAAAAACCAAATAATTGAAGAAAAAGGTCTCACTCATGGAAAACTTGCTCTATAGCTCCATAATAGCTTTAAACAAAACCTGCAGAATTACAGCTCAAAACCTGTAGTTCTTTGGCTCATCCAGATGTCCTTTATATAATCATGCCCAAAATTAGGGTCTTGGAAATACTTTTTCAAAATATTCTTGAATAAACTACTACTTGGTGAACATTGTAATTTAATAATGATATATTGTCTTTTGACAATACTGGCTCATTCAGTGAATCATTATTTCAAGAGAGTGCAATTCATCTACAGCTTGTCCTGCAAGAATAGTTTTGTCCAACAATCAGTTCATGAGCTTTGGTCCCACAGGGCAGATATTTGTATGTTAAAAATAAACCAGATTACTGTTGTAAATTTGATTCCGTTTCCCATGCTGAGAAAGGTGGCTCTTTTCTTTGTAACAAGCTGCGGAAAGGAAATTATGAAAAATTCATCCCTTTCAAAGGGACACTATTTTTACCTTCTGATCTCTATTCCAGAACCAGCATTAATCTCTGCATCTGAAGAGGATCTGATGGTTCCCTGTGGGTTAATCCTTTCATCTGCTTCCTCTTCCTTTCCCAAGGGAAAGATTTTGAAACTTAAAGAAAAACTTGTGAAGCTTTAGGTGTGGCCAAGGGTGGGTACTCAAAGTTATACCAGACCAACATTTTTTCCAGTAAACACACTCTGAAAATGGTAGAAATTGTTCCTTCAGTGGAACATGGCCCGATGCAACAGTGCAGTCCTGGGCATTCCTTGAAGCCTCACCACATAAAATAAATACAAGAAAGACTTATAAGGTCATTTTGACTATTACTTGCCAACAAAGAGCTATTCCCCATTGTGTTTCATGATAATATGTTTTAAAAGGTAAAATTCATTTTAGGATTAACTACTTCACATTAATAGGCCTCGCAGATCAAACATTCTCTCCTTGTGTTCATCAGTTATTTACATTTGAACTTTTCTCAGTTGTCACCCCATATTCACAGATTCCCCCTCAGCAGCACCCCTGCGCGCCCTCCGGCCTCCCCGGCCGCGGCGGGCCCAGCACAGGCCCCGGAGCCGGAGACCTACGGACACAAACGGCTCTTCCGGGCAAAACAATCGTTTCCAACTCAGTAGTCCCCACCTCCTAGAAAGGCTTTTTTTGTCATTATTTGTTTCCTTTCAGTGTTTTCTCTTAAATCAGCTCCTTTAAACCTTTTCCTTCCATTCTCTGACGCCCTATAAATTAACCACAGTAACCTCTGGCAAAAAAGGAGATTGTCACTTCCTCATCTGCCCTTGCCTTTTGCCATGTATATTGTATTTCCTCTTATTTACATTTTCATTATCACACTGGCTCAGTTCCTCCCAGCTCTTCAGGGATATCACTGTATGAAATATGAGCCCTTGCATTTATAAACACTGCAATTTTATTAAAATGAAACTCACTTTATGGTGGCGAGTGCAAGCAAAAGTGTATATACATAGATCCTCATATGCAAATTTAAAGTTTTATTAGGAAAACATGATGTTAGAATATTTTATCTAATATCATGTTCTTCCTCAGTTTTGCCTTGTTTACAGCTCGCTGAACGTCCTGAGAGATTTGAGTGTGAGAAACAGGCACGCCACTGGCTTAAAGTTAATCTTCTTCAATTTGCAAGTGCTCCAACATACCTGGGAACCGACTGCAGGCACTGCAGGGGATGTGTGTGGTCACCTCCCCAGCTCCCGTGACGCGTGTGACCAGCCACTGCTCCTGACAGCAGCCCTTTGGAGCTGGAACTGCCCTGCGCGGTGGAGACGCTCGCCTCAGGGTCTGGGCACCATACAGCTGGCTAGTGAGAACCTGAACACTAGCAAATAGGTCTAAATTTATTATTCTGGATCTCAAAACGTGATTTTTTTTGTTGTTGTTTTTATCTGTGCTTACCAATTAGGTGGACTCAGTAACTAAAGCAGGTGGTGGTGGTTGTTTTTATTTTTTTTTTTTTTTTGGCTCCAGAACATGTTGAGATTAATCCCTTCTTCACCAGACAGTTGCAGCGAGTTGTGTTCTAGGCTTAAGATCCCCTGCACTGTTTAGCTGGTGCAGAACCTGCTTGTGCATTTGCTTAGCTGTTTTTCTTGCAATGTGTTTGAAACTGGAAGAATGGCAAGTAGTACTTTGATTTAGAATTTGTCTCTGGCCATATTTTTATGGCTGCTTTCATAGCAGGGTATGAAGTTTGGGTCTGGTTGAAGTGCCTGTGGTAATCTTACTCCAAAGTAGGTCCAGGTTACAATTACTTAACTTTGCATTTTTGTGAAAAACATCATCTCTATTTGCTTAGCCCACAGCATAGGCACATTTTGTATGTCAGACAAAATAAATAGTGGCTTCACTCTACAAAGAAAAATAAACCTGACATGCTTGTATGTACATGCATATTTTATGGATTGTTGCTAATGAAAGATATTGTATTTCATTTCTCTGCTGCTTGCTCAAGAGCAGAGAATGAATTTTCATTAGAGTAGGTCAATATTTTAACAGAATACACTTTGGAAATTACTTAACGAGGCTTGGTTTATACATCCTTTCATATTTGTTCTAAT